CAAGTTCTCAGCCCTGTTATTTCTACAGCATTAAATTTTTTTTACAGTGACATTTTAGTATGATGAATACTACACACTAGCAGTCAAATGCAAGTGGTGGGGAGATAACTGTCTCAGTATCTTGCCCTTTTGAGCACCCAGAAAGGAAAAAACAAATATCCAGGGCTGGTTTACTTGCAGAGCCAGTAGCGCAGAATTGCTACTGGAGGGGCAGGAGGGACAGAACTTAAGACTAGAGAGTTCCCATGCATTGCATATTGCCTGCGTGGTCTTATCTGGTCTCGAGTTAAGTAGTTGGTGAGCAAAACCAGTTGCAGCATTCCACAAGTCTTTTTACAGTGCCGTGATCTAATAAGGCTGCGCATAGCTTAGCAGAATCCCAAAATCAAGCAGAGAAAAAAAAGCCCTTCCGCTCTCTTATAATCCTTGGCTCTAACGATGCTGGTGTTGAGCCTGGGCCTTTCTCAAGAGGAAAAATGTGGAGGAGCAATTCCGGAGAAACACTCTAGATCTAGATGTATTCTGATGATAAGACTCAGAAGAAAATAAGCTTAATGCAGCATCAGATGCAACCCTTTTCTGCTTCAAAGTACAGCGGCAGCTTCCAGAAAGCAAACAAGTATTATTTGGGACCCTTTTATTCCCCCCAGACATCTTTAATAGCCTGGAGCAACTGTCAATGTGCACAGTCCATGTTAGTGGCTGGAAAAACAATGAAAATAAAAGCTGCACAGTAACAATTATTTCCACTACTAACTACACACAGGATATATTGCTTTTGGTACAATGCCATTTATTGTCACAAGAAGAAAACCAGTGATTAAGTTGAGCACACATGAATTATGCAGACCTTTGCCATGCTGGAACAGCAGCATATTATACTTAGAGAAATGTCACCAAGTCAGCTGTAAAAACAGCTTAATACAGTTCTCCCAAAATACCAAACATACTCTCAAGAACAAGCTTATAAATTAAGTTTAGCTACAAAAGAATGCTTAAGAAATGGCCATGCTTTTTTACCTTAGTCCCTACACTTTTTTCTGGAGTGCTGCGCTTATGCTGCATGTGAGAGCGAACACAGAATTAGAACATGTAGCTATAGTGACATCAGCAATATTCATTATAAGTATTTTTGAGTGTGTAAGCTGGCGTGCAAAAGTTTGTGTTCCTTCCACATCTGTGGCATACCTATTCAAAAAGCCTGCAAAAGTATATACATGTACAAAAACTAACGAAAAGCTTTTTAAAACCACAGAATGCATTAAAAAGTCTAAAGTTTGAACTCTCGAGTCTATGATGTCTCAACTACGAGTTAGAATATTTGTGAGTTTTAACACTTCCAGGAATATAGAAAGGTTTTTTTTGTCAAAATTTCCTTTTAAGTACTAGCTATTGAAATTAAAGGTGAACTAGGAGAAAGGCTTGACTAAAAACCTTCCAGCTCACTTGTGATATAATCAGTACAGCAAGTCTCAAGCCAAAATTCTGAATATTCAGCATTTTTGCATTTGCAGTTTTAAGGCAGAAAACCATCTTCAGAACAAGCCATTTAGTCTTGCATCTAACAAAAAAAACCCCAAACAAAACAAAAAAACACACCAAAAAACCCTATAAGGTGCATCTCAAGTCTTTTAGTAATAGCAAATTTAAAAAATTCCTATGGCATTCTCTTACAGCTTTGGGTTTTATTATATCAGGCTAGAAAAGCCTGAAATTTGAAATAATTTTCAGACATGCTGAGCATGCATCATGGTTAGCGAGACTAAAATTGTTATTTCTGGGTTGTGTATTCAAGGTCAGCATTAAAATAATATGGTGGAATTAACAGATCATGACACCGCGCAACGCCTTAGTTGGTGCCATCCCAGGCACTGCAAGGACCGACTGCAGGAGAGGAGCTGCTCTGTGCTACGCAAGTTTTCTCCCCAAATCCAGCCGCTGTAACCAGCAGCCCAGAAGTCAGCTGCCTGTAACCAGGGCCCAGCTTTGTGACAGCTGTGTCCTCAGCTCAGCTTTACAGAAGAAAAAAAAAATTAAAAAAGCAAACAAAAGTTGAGCTGTGAGACTGTAGGTAATCTACAGCCATGCAAGAAAAAGAAAAGCAAGAACAAAGCAATGAAGTCATCAAGTCAGTCATAGCAGACAAAGGACTTTGGAGAAAAATACCAACATGGAAAGTGTAAAACCCTGAGGAAGAGACATGTCGCTGGAAGACAGTAACTCAGCAAGATCAAAGCTCAGCCCAGTCCAAGCAGCAATGGAAAGAGACACGGAGAAGTAGCATTTTAGTTGACAGCTAATACAGTTGAGCATCACACAAATTCACAGAAAGACTCACAAGATAAGTGAAAGTATTTTTTAACTCCATATTTTTAGATGAGAAAATGCTGCAAACCCAACATGCTGTCAAGGTATTTCTTGCTCTTTTCTGGGAAATCAGAAATAGAATACTTCAGGGTTCCTTTTTTCAGCCTTCATGTACAAACATAAGCTACTTCTGTACCAAGTAAAATGAAAAGCTAGAAGGATCACACAGTTATCTACCATGTTAATTAGGAAAGGGAAGGAACTTGAGCAAAACGGGCTCACTGTGTGTGTGTACGTGTGTATTGAGAAGATGTTTAGAGGCAATTTTAGAGAAGTAGCAGGAAGCTTTCTGTATTCAGAAGGTATCTTTAGAGTCAAAAAGAGGAAAGTTTGAACCAGGCACTGCTGGACTTCAGGCAGAAGTTCCCAACAGCAACAAAGAAACCCAGTAGAACTGGGTTTCATGCCACATCTTAGCCAAACGCCTTGTTCTTTTCTGTTCTTTATGTCTGTTTTCATACTGCCTTCCCAGAAATCCACACGCAGTTACCAGATCCCCTGCTGTGCTTCCAACAGGAAGAGTCTCAGGAGACCTTCCAACTTTCTTGCTTACCTCTTCACTGGATTTACATCAGTTTAACTAAGGGGATCAATAATCTATTATCACCAGAAATCTCACAAATCCTACAGCAGAAAGATTTCTGGAACAAATGGACTTGTTTAGACTCAGTTTGCTAATAGGAAGACAAAGAGAAAAGTAAATTGTCAATAGCAAGACATACTGAAAAAACAGGCAGGTTCTGGAACACACCTGAAGGAAAGTCATCAGCGTGAGTAATTTATAAAGGGGAAAGATAGAGGGGTTACAGAACAATTCTCATTTCTAACTTCCAAGATTAGCCTTCACATGAACACTGCATGAGTGGGGCCACATTTCTGACATGGGATGTGAACACTGGCCACCTCTGGCACCTGGCAGAGCACCAGGACATTGTTTTGCAGACTCACCAGAGCCACCTTCAGAACTGGAGTTCAAGCTCTAGAACTCTCCTGAAGCTAGCTGAAGAGTTTCTTTTGTGGTGAAAAGACACATCAGAGCAAGATAACCATCAGCAGACATGACAGGTATTGATGCAATGAAGTTTGTAAGTCTTCTACACGCCGCAAATGCTTTTCTTAACTTTCCAAGCTTGTCAAGTGTTATGTATATGCCATTTAGCAGAAAGAATAACTGAAAATGAAATGTGCACAACACAGAAGCTGGCATCTTCGGTCTGCAGAGAAAGTCCTGGGGTCAAAGCTCCGCAAAGCTTGATGCCATCAAACCTACACTAGTATCTCTTCCAATGAACAGGGCTCGTACTCAGCAGTTCTTCACAAGCCTTCGTGAGTATTTGAGTGCACCACCTCCCCCAGCGCAGGCCGCTCAGCTTCCAGAGCACCCAGAGGGCTCTTACTGAAACAGGCCAGCTCACACAAACCACAAGCCCACACCCCAACCCAAGCGCCCACCTCTACCCTCTTTGACTCCAACAGTTTAAGAGTGCCCACTATACTTGAAGCTTACAGATGGAGAAGATTCAGTGTCCAATTCTGGTGAAATACAGGAAATATGCATGATATTTCAAACTAACCCTACTTAAACAAGGATTCCAAGACTGTTAAGTCAATCAGTAGCTTGTAAAAACCTCCACTGAGACAAGCTGCAGTGTAGTTACACCTTGAAGTAACTCACTGAAGTACAAGCTACTGTAAATACAGCATTCTGCTGGGGGAACAAAGAAAGCGAGAGGCAGCTACAGTCAACAAAAAAGTAAGAACACTCACAAACCTATCTATGGCAAAAATGAAATTATATAATATTCTGGGGAAAAAACTACATACTCTGCTGTGAAAGCCAAAGAGGGAATGGAGAGATGAATTTTGACAAGCCAGTTCTTGGAGTTGTTACAGACCTGTCAGTTACAGCTAAGCTCTCTTTAGTTTCAGGTCACATTTTCTGTGTTTTCATATTAAGAGAAGTTTCTAGCTGCCATTATCCAACTACACCTTCTAAGGGTTCAGTTCTTTGGCACAGTCTGATTTTAGGCTAAAAAAAAAAAAAAAAAATTAAAGAATTCATTAAAAGCCCATTACAGTGATGTAAGCTGACTTGCATTGCTCCCAGCAATCACGTTTCAAACCCTCGGCCTGAGAAGAACCTTTTCATAGTAAAATGAAAACATTTGGTCTCCAAGGATTGCTTGAGTAATTATTTTCAAGATTTCATGGGAAGAGTGCAATAGCTATATGAATACCAATATAAAGAGCATCAAAAAAGCCTGTGAATCATCGGATACACTGGAATCTATTTGCATTACTCTATGCTCAACAGTTCAAAATACTGATGATTTCATAACTTTCTTGCACCAAAGATAAAACATTTCTGCCTGTCTATAAAGAAACTTCGCTTGTGTTTTTTTGGATGGCTTCCTTAATTTAATTTCAAGCTGGTGTAGTCATACAGTGGAATGAACACACTCGAGTATTTACAAATACTAAATGTAGGCTACTCACTACCGCAGTGTTCAAGTGACAGTCATTTTTTTAGATAAGCTAATGTAATACACATCAGTGTATTTATGGTTTATAAAACAGCAGTTCATTTTAAAGCAAAATTCCAGTCATTCTACATACGCACAGTACTATGCTGATTTGGTGATACAGGGACACAATTTAATGTTTTTCTTTGCATTTGTTTTTACAAGATTCAGATGCCAAAAACAAAACAGAACATTAAGTTACCTGATTTAAAAAAGAAAATCACATACGTTTACAACATCAAAAGAATAAGACGAAATATAAACCTTTGCTACTTACAACTGATCTATACAGATTAACCAAATCACAAATCTGTCACAATATAAACGTTTAATTGTTACAATGAGTAAGAACATACAGAAAATGATTTTTTTTTTTTTTTTTTATAAAATCTTCCTTTGCTTTTTTATTTTAAACTTACCATTAACTAAATTAGCTATGCAGGACTTGTGGGGTACATGACTAAGAAGGCACCAACAGTACAAAGCAAAGACAAAGCAGTTTGAGTATTTTTAAGAGTGCTCTACACTGATACAACACAAGAAAAGGCAACAATAGTAAGTAAACCAGCTGCAACCTTTAGAAATTTGTTCTAGATTTACAAAGGTAGTCCAACTTTTACATTTCCTCCAATGTTTCACTTAGTTTGATCACAGCACATGCTACAAAAACCACTGTAAGCTTCACTTTACTAATGTGCACTTTTCACTAATTTAGTGTCTTGATTTCAATCGTTAACTAAACCATTTTGAACCACAAATGTATTTAAAACTTAGTAAAAGGATTGTTTGGACTTTTTTGTTTAAACCACTGCATTTACAAAAATATTTCCCCTAAAATCTGGGATTGCTTGAAGACATTGCTGTACAAATATAAAAGTACTATGCAAGGGACCAAATTCATGGTATATGGTGTGTATGTATAGACTTATATTTATACCATATCACTGTGCTGTAACAACACAATAAATTTATCAATAACCAAGGACTATATAAACTACACTAACATAAGCAAATATATATTAATAAAGTTTAAATCTATAGTACAGTTGCTCAGCAAACAACTTCGACATGGTATAAATATATCATAGCATATTACAGTGGGCAGCAACAACAGGTTTTTCTTTTTCTCATTCTGTAAGGAAAACCATGCTCAACTCCTTGGGTTTCATTTGGCCACTGCTGCATTACGTCATCACTGCTACTCCTGAAAGCTCCCAGTGCACCACACCGCTCAGCCCATGTAGTGTGTTGTACACTTCAGATTTGATATAACGTGCGATATTGATGAGGAAGAGTCTGGCGACAGTCAGGGCAGCAGTAAGATGCTTGTTTGCCAAAGCATCCATGAGAATTTTATGTTTGCATATTTTTCTTCAGCTGTAAGGTTGGAATGTTTTTGACAGTGAACCGTTTACATTCCTTATTCCCAAAACATCTTTACCATGAAATATGCATGTTACTTTGATTAAGAGTTGCTGTTCTCCGCTCTAAAATATAAAAACTACATGAAGGCAAAAAAACCCAAAACAATGTAAAATGATGAAATAACCGACCTAACACAGTGTTGTTATAGGCACCTTCTTTTAAACTATTTCCAAAATCTGATTAAAAAAAAAAATCATGCTTCTGCATTTGACGCATCAACAAATTCAACCCAACAACGTTTACTGAATTCAGTAGAAGATTGGTGAATGTGGTTACCGATAGTGATGGATGCCAACCGGATTCAGCAAGAATAGCTAAGGAAGAAAGCCCCAAAGCACCAGATGTTAGGTAAAGCAAACCCTCGGCTTCTCACTCGGGGAGACAGAACGGAAGGTAAGTCTACACCTCCCCCAAAATCCAAAATTAAAGAAAGTATTAAAAAAAGAATCAGGAAAGAGAAGGATGAAGTAAGCTGCCAAAGTTCTCCCTTAATAAATTAAAACTGAGGTGTTACAAACTAATTTCAGTAACAGTCGTCTTTCCAACCATGCCAAAAATGACTCCTGTAGTAATGATGATCATACAAGTAGCAGAGATTCTAGAAATATTTCAACTTTTCAAAACTGAGTGAGAAAAGCGTTTTGGTAAAGAAGTGTAGAAATGTCAAGAGAAATTTCTACACTAGTATCAACAGTCAAGTGCATATTTCTATAGAAATGTTTTTCGCATAGGTTCCATACCACGATTCCATGATCACTTGTGCAGTGTCCTGACAATGCTCTTAATATGCTCCCCGCAACAGAGATTTATGTACCACAGGAACTTCCTAAGAGAAAATGCCCTTTAATGATGAACCCTTGCTTATTAAAAATTAGTTTTGGCAGACTAACACTTAAACTAGAGGAAAAAGAAAATTTTGAAATGGAATCTTGTAAGCACCCTTATCTATTGAAGTCTATAGTTAATGGCTTTCTAGATTTCTTTGAAGAGCAGACTAAATGGTATGAGGAAGCCTGGAGTTATTAACCAGCAAGCATCCTTATATACTACAGTAGCAATTGAACCTGATTTCCATTCAAACACATTACCCAAGATGAAACCAAAAATTAATTCTTAATGTTAACGTGAAGATATAAGATTTAAATTTATTTCCAGGAATTACAAGTGCATTTTGTTCATATTAGCAAGCAGTCTTTATACAATCCATTCTTCACTGCTGCCAAAATAAAATGAGAAAAAGACAGCAGAGATATGAAAAGCTAAAAATAGAACTATTTTTCCTAAGTTATTTGTTGAATAGCATTTCAGTTGAACACAACTCAGAGGTAACAATAGATTATTTTTTTCTCAATCATAGGCATGTGGCACTTAGACAATCATCTTTGCACAGAAAGCTTTAACAGTCATGCGAGGGCACAGTAATTATTTTAAACAAGGCAAATTTCTCACCACAGAGAGCAGTGGGGAAAGAAAAGGAGGCACTGCACTGGAACATAACACCTAGTAAACTCCACATTATACAATTTCAGTAACAAATACTTGAAAAGATCATTAAAAGGTATACAATTTTAAACATTATTTAGTGCTAGCTTTGTTTGGTTGTCCTAACTCAGCATTATCAGAAAAGTTTGATAGTACTTGACAACAGAACAGTACTTCATGTCACGAGCTCATGGAGGCTTGATTACAAATCACCATAGTGTAGGTTGCAAGAAATGAACTTGAGATGCTGACATGCTGTAGGAGCAAAAGTAAAATCAAACTTTCTCATTTAAAGATGCAGTGTTCCTCTCTGCAAGAATTCTGAATGTCAGTGATTAGATTCAAATGTAAAAACTATCAATCCTCATTTGAAGCATTTCATTGGTATGCAGGATGCAGACTGAGTTTATTAACATCATATTTTGGTTTCTCGCTTGCCACCACATATGGATGCCTTCCACAGAGAAAAGCATTCACCATTAGATCATCATGCCATTATGTTCTTTGTTAATCTTCCACCACACGGTGAGTAAATATAAGTTGGCGAGCTGCCACTCATTCTCTTTGCACAAGTCTTCTAAACACTACTACGTGGTATGAACTTTGGAAGTACTATGCCTCCAACATGGTTAAACTTTAAATGATCTCTTTTAGAAAAGGCAGGGAGAAAAAGGTACAAATTTTGTCAATACATGGAAAAAATGTGTCTTAGATGAATTCAATTAAGTTGGGTTCCTATGTGGCTCTTACGCTGTATAGAATACCTGTATGTACAGCACAGGACACCCAAACAAGTGCATAAGCAAGATTAACATGAACACGACTTATGCTGTAATCCATAGCATAATGGTATAAACTCCGCTGGATGCTAACCATTTCTATTTAAAAAGGAAGTGCAAAAAAAATCTGGGATGTCACTGACTTAAAGTGCCCTGAATAGTAGCTTTTCTAAAAAAATGCCAGCGACTTCAGTAAAGTCAGAAAAACATAGTTCATGGTGTAAACTTCTTACAGGTTAATGAATGATCTTCTTGGATATTGATCCAGGAGTGAAAGGAACCACTGCATCTTTCAAACCAGAAAGCAAGCAGTTAAAATACGGCCAGCAGTAGGTGCACTTACAGTACAGTACTGCAACAGGTCAACAATGGGCATTACGCATAGGAGTGTCAATTACAATTCTTCAGGCTTAAAAGATTCATTGAAAGCATGAAAAGCCAAAACTACCAGGAACTGCCCTCCTGAATGGCTCAAAGGAGTTAGTGGATAAGCTGAGAGAGGCCACAAGACATGACCAACAATAAAGAACTGGGAAGAGGAACAGCAACGTTTGAGCACGCCCAGTCCTTTAAGTCCTTGCCCTACAAAAAAGAGCAGAGACATATTTCAGTGAAGGAAGTTTTAACATCGCCTTTTAAAACAAGCATATTTTCCTATTTCTATGCTTTAGGTACACTATGTTTACCATAGACAGCAGTACCAATATATGTTTAAAAAAAAAATTAAAAAAAATCCAGAGACAGTGAGTATCAGTACATTACATTTTAAATTAAAATTTTACTTCTTCAAATGATTAGGAAGATTAATCATAACTAATGAATAAAGTACATTATTTGGTTATCTGAAGAATCTGTTATTTCCACATTGCCTCTCAATTCCAAAAACTACAGCCAAGGGGGAAGTTTTGAACCTCAAGAAATAAACACACCGAGAAGGGCTAGCTGATAAAGTACGGGGTGGTGGGGTGGGGTGGTGTAGGGGGTGCAGAAATGCACAGGAAGAGACCATTACTGTCCATTTTAAGCCAAATCCTGGGGACTGGCCTTCCCTAGGATGTCAGCTACTTTAAACTGTTGTGATGTGGAACAGCTAATAATTCTAACCACAAATGACTAGGACAAATTACCAGCATATCATTATCAAGCTGAGTACAATATTTAAACTTCAGAATCGCATCAGCCAAATCAACTCTTCACAGTAGCATTTAAAGGTAACATTTTTAGCAAACCAGAAATTTCCATTAGCACCAGATCACTGATATCTTTATCCCTAATCCCTTTATCCTTTAATTCCTAATACAACCTAGGTAAGTATGGTCTGTGGGCAAAGAGGCAAGCAGGAGAGATCATAAACTAAGATTTACCACAATGTTAGCTATTTGCTCTCCCCTCCTTCACACTATGACCCATTAGTAACAGGTTTCATCTTACTCCTCAAAGTTTATGTCATTTTCTTCCAGAACATGTACAGGTACTGCTAGCGCCTCTGGTACAGAATTAGCTTTAGAAAACACGGATGGGAAATAAGCACCACGCATGTTACCATGTCCCAGGGACTAATTCTATTGGTAATGCCCAGCTAATAATAAGAGCCAGATTTACCTAACTTTTAATTATTAAAATAGTTTCAAATGTTAGCTAGTAAGCTGAAATAAACAAAATACAATATTTCTAAAGATCAAAATTACTTCATTTGTGAACTTCTATACATTTGAATATTCAAACCAGTGGCAACAGAAGTTACCCTATCTAAGTAAAAACTGTATTTTCAGAAGTTTCCTTCACTTCCCCCCCGCCCCCCTTTCTTTCACAGATTTCTTGCAGTGAGGAAGTTCACTGGCTCAAAACTTAACCTTTCTGCTGGAATCGCCAACCAAAAAACCAGTGATTGCAGAATGCTGCTGTTGACGGAGAATAGCACAGAAACTACTTTTAAGACCATAAAACAGGCAACCTAGATTAGGCTGTCTTCTTTTGTTTGTTCTTCTTTTCCAGTCACAAAACTTTGATACCTCAAACTATTGGTAACACAGAAGTTTCACAAGACCAGATATGAGGGAGAAGTTTTCTACGATGAGGGTGGTGAAACACTGGCCCAGGTTGCCCAGAGAGGTGGTAGATGCCCCATCCCTGGAAACATTCCGGGTCAGGTTGGATGGGGCTCTGAGCAACCTGCTCTAGTTGCAGATGTCCTTGCTCGTGGCAGGGGTCTTGGACTAGATGACCTTTAAAGGTCCCTTCCAACCCATACCAGTCTATGATTCTAAGTATTACAAAAATTATTCAAGTCAGTATTTGACCAATCTTGTATGAAACTACTGAGACTTCCAAGCATCATGGTATATGAAGATGAGTTAAGTTCATTGATTAAAAAAAGAAAAAAGAAAGAAAAATAAAAAGTCAGAGACAGTAAATATCGGTACATTACATTTTAAATTAAAATTTTAAATCTTCAGTTTAGGACAATTAATCATAACTAATTTATGAATATTTAGATTCCTATTTACTCACACTATTTCAGAGGTACTTAAAACTGAAGTTAAATCATACTGAAGGTTCAGAGGGGTTTTTTTCCCCTTTAAAATAATTTAGGAGATTTCTCCTCTGTACGTTACATTTAAGGAAGAATTTTTTTTAAAGCATTTGAAGCCATATGACAAAATAGTAACATATGAAGAACATTGCCCCCTTAAAATGTTTTTTGAATAAAATTTGCATTTCAAGGTGTTGAGACAGCTTTTATTCTAAGAAGCACTATTTAAATGTAATTCTTATTCCTTAAATGTAACCTAAAAACTAGGTAAACATCTCAGGCAATTGCTTGGATTCCCTGTAAACACTTCAGTGTTGCAGGCAAAACTAAACACTTTCTTCAACAACAGAAGAGGACCGAGGTCAAATGAATAAGCATAAAGCTATCCTTTAACAGGTAGTTATCCTATCAATAGAAAAGGTAAGTTCTACATTTCACTAGTGGTAAGAAAGTTCCAAAATTCTTCCCCCTGCCCAAGTAGTTTCGTATTGCTGTGACTTTACCTATGCACAATTTAAGATCGATATCCTGGCTGGAATCTAGCAGTTTCCTCAAAAATTAGTTCTTTCAGCTTTTCCTTCGGCAAGTCATCCAACTCCATATCAAACTTGAAGGGTGCTTCAGCTACAGGCTTAATAATATAAAGAAATATTATTACTTTTTTTAATATTACTGTTCTGTTGAATTTCATGTAGTTCTTGTATGGGGAAAAAAATCTGAAAATGCGCTTCACAAAAATATCTAATACTGTGCAGCCTTCAAGGAAGAACTCATTCTGTTAATCCTTTGTGTGCATTATATATTAGTTTACCAAATTTTAAATCAAACCATAGTAAGTAGCTACTCAAATCTAAACCACAAGTTAAAATAGTTGTTAAAGTCTAATAACTTAGTATCTACCTAAAGAAAAAATTATCTGCAACATTTGTATTTCTTGGAATAAACATATCTTCCTTAAGGAAAACTAGCTTATTTCCTCCTCCCCTACTTCATCACTAAAAGTAACCTGAAATCTCATCAGAATTGCATACTGAACTACAGTGAGTTCAGATTCGGGGGTTTTAAATGTGTAATCTGATGGCAAACTCAGTTATTCTTCTCCTTCATCTCAGACATTATGAAACAAGACCATAGCAAGCCAAGAAGTTCCATTTTCAGGAGAGTACACCTTAGCATCTATTTATTGTGTTACGCCTCCAAAATGCTGTACTAGAATAAGAACTACAAGATTTTGGTATATTGATGCAATTCATTCCTCAACTCCATTAGAGCTGTAGAAACACTGTCCTTAAACTAATGAAGAAAATAACCTCTTGCATCATTTAATCAACATTTACATTTTAACAATGTCTTTACCTCATCACTTGGATCATAATACTGCTCCAGATACGGATGGGCTAAAGCTTGCTCCACTTCAATCCGCTTATGAGGATTAAAGGTCAACATTTTATCCAACAAATCAAGCGCTAAGAGGAAAAAGTGAGCAAGAGTTTAATACACACTCCAAAATACAAAAGTGTTATGAACACTGGTATTACACAGAAAATACATGCTACTCTAAGTTTTGCACTAATTCCAATGTACATCTGGAATTCCCCAGCTGTGGTAGCAGTAACAGAAACAGCAGATTGCTTCTTATAACTTGGGCAGAGTATCTTCACCTGCCCATCTTATCGACATTCCCTGGTTATGGTTTCCTTTGGCACGATCTGGTCTAATGGAGACATACCCTTTCAAAAGCTGTTCAGCATCAGAATGAATGTCAAGGGAAGAAATGCATAGAACCCTATGGTATAATCTATTTTTAACTACAGCAGAAATGGAATAGGTAAGGCTTTTTCTTCACTCAAATAGATGCTTTGGATTTTTGTGCCAAAAATCCAAACCAAGATAGAGCTTTTCTGAAATGAAAAAGTAATCAAGAATATGTTCTTATTCTGAAAAGAAAACTTGGCTGTTTACTGACAAAAATGTCATCCAGAAGTCATTAGGAGTTCTAGACCATCACAGTGAACTATTCTAGCATAACCAGCAGCCCAGAAGGTACTCTCCACCTAAGATGCAAATATATTCATGTTGATGAGATTCAGGCAAAATCTGTTGAAGACAACTCATAAAGAATCCATAGAGAACTTGAAGATCCAGTAAGACAGAGAGTGAGGTCTGATGAAATTCTGGACAAATGTTACAAGTCAGAGTTACTGCAATTGTTCAGTTACTTTGATTGTAACACATTTTCCCTTTCCAAGACAAGGAAACAGAATGATTATAGCAACAAGAAGCCCAAAGATATCTGCAGCATCCTAAATTCCACTCCATTTCTTCTCCTCACCACATCATTTATGACACAGAACTTACACAGAGGCTTCTTACTGCGGCAAAGTAGTGGTAGCTTTGCATCAGAATGAGATGCGTACCAAGCATTGCAGAAGAGACAGACCTTACCACTGCATACAATGGCAGCTTGGAAAAGCTGCAAACTGGCACAGCAATTAACGTTAAATATTCTGACGAGGTTTTCTCAACACTGGAAACTCACATGCTCACTCCGTGCTAAAGCATGTCCCGCACAATGCTTTTTACTGAAATGATTGACAAACAGCTTTTTGAAAAACTGCTCTGTCAAAGCTACTCTGAAGATCTAGATGAAAAGGTGTTGCAGAAGTCATGCAAACAGCATGTTCCCCTAGCAGCTAAGTGTATCAGCATTGCTACAATTTCAGCTGTCAGAAGCCCACGGTAAAAATTCTCACATTGATGAGCACTATTATAAAAGCAGAATAAATCACTTCTGTTTCTCTCAATGACAAGGATAATCAGCTCTACTCAGTTCCATCTGCAAAAATCAGCTTTTACATGGTAGTTCAGTACCTGATCGTATTCACTAAGAATTATCTAAAATTATCAATTTAAAAAAAGGTGACTTATGAATTGTGTCAGAGCAGGTAAAAGAGCACTGTACTGTGAATACAACCACCCTTAAACTGCGTGAAGTAGAATTTAAAACGCAAGTCAATAGCTATCTAGCAAAACAAAATCATATTTACCCTCTAATAAAGCCTTGTTAAGAAAGGCAACAATTATTACATTCCTTGCTTTTATAACTTTTGCTCCACTTATCATAACTGAATTTTTTAACCCATTAAATTTTAACCTTTCATACTGCCTAAGGACCCATACTTCGATTGATATTATCCAGTTTGATCTAGAACTGACATGCAGTCTGCACAAACTATACTGAGTTCAGCAATAAGCAGCTATCTCATATCTGATTTTAGAAACAAAGTTCAAGATTTGTTTGATGCCTCTCTCAAAATCCAATACCTATGTTCAGTACTTGAGTAAAGTATCATGCTTTCAAAGATAGTAACAAGAGTTAGGATTTACGTTTTACACATAAGTTAATGATCAAACACCACAACATGTAATCTTAGAGTTACTAAAAATTGCTTTAAAAAGATAAGCTAGTATGAGGGTTTCATGCTGGTTTATGACTTTATATTAGATTTAAACTGCCATTTTAAGGGACCTACATGTTCTATTTCCAGTATAGATAAATTCTTAGGATGGTTTTAAAAATCCCATTCTGCCATTACTTTCTGATACAATGTAATAGAGCATAAAATACCTTTGGGGTCAGCATTTGGGAACAGCCTGTTCCATGGTACCTTGTTTTTGTGTGGTAGGGAAAGCAAGTAGTTTCTGGCCTTTAAATTTATTATACAATTCAAATCTTCTTGGGAAGGGGATCCAAATATACCCAAAAAAAAAAAAAAAAAAAAAAAAGCAAAACCCACAAACAGTAATGCATTCTGTGAAAAGCATATTAAAACAGTTATATCGCATTTGCTAAAACTCAATATTAAAACTGCTGGGAAGAAGATTTCAGACTAAATGTTTTAAGAGTACAGGATCCTTTAGAATTCTTTTAGAAACCTTTACTAAAGAGGTTTAAGTTATTTTTTTCTTGTAAACAAACAAATGCATTTGATTTTTTTTTTTTAATTTTAAAAACCTCTCTGCTGATGTAGTAAATAAATTGCTAAGTATCCTCTAGTTGCCCCAAAAATCAATGATTTGTTGTAGAAATCACTGCAGAAATAACTACAGGGAACAGATGATACACCTACAGAGCCATACGTTATATACTGACCAACAAGAGAAAGAAACGAGCAACCAAGACCACTCTAGCTGGTAGAAAAGGTGGAGAGAGACAGATGGATGTGGAAATGCTACTTTTCTATAAAGCTTACCAAGGATATGGTTAAGTTGGTCAAGGTAGTGTTTTCCTGGAAAGATGGGTCTGTTGGAGAGCATCTCTGCCAGAATACAGCCTACTGACCAGATGTCAATAGACTTGGTGTAACCCTGCAAGTAAAGGGAAAACACATTTTTGTCAAAGAAATTTTTGCATAATTGCAGCAACATGTTACTTTAGTACGTGTTACTTTAGTAAATTGTGAAAGTGCACGCAAATAAATATTTTTTTTTCTTAGATGAGTCGTGCTTGTTCATGGTCTGGTTTTTCTGTACAGAATGAAATAATTAAGAATTGTATATCAAAAACACTAGTTGGAAGGGGTAGCAAGAACTGAAGTATGTAAGATATGCTTTTCCAGAAGGATTCTCTAAGTTTAGCTAAACTTATTACCAACCGCAAATTTCTGAGGCTCCCTAATTTTATAGCAAATTTAAACTAACAAATTTTGGAAACAAGCTATTCTTCTTAATTCCATAGCTCCTAACAGTATGCTAAACGTGGAAAAAAAGCCATCCTTCTTCCTAATAGGATCTAAATATCACTAAAGTAAGCAGCCTTCAACAAAGGAGTGAAAGTGCAAAATTAGATTGTTCGTTAACTGATTTGTAAAACATGACAGGCAAGTAAGTAGTAAAGATGATGTGAGAAAGCCAACAATGGTAAATGGGATATAGATAAGAAGAATGGAACAAATGGCCATATTTTCATGTGTATGGATAACCTGTGTTATCTGTAAGAAAAGGCTCTCATTCAGAGGCACGCTAGTTACACTAGTGACTGGGTAGCGCAGGGACGAGTTTATCTCAAGAGCCCCTGGCCACATGAGCTCCCTTGCCTTACTCTCCCATAGCCCGCTGCCCGCTACTCCCTCTCCCATTAGTAGGGAGCTTCCAACAAAAGCTAGTAACTTTGCTGAATCCACAGCCACCTTGGCTCCAGCTTCTCAGGACATGATCACTTGACTTTATTTTCAAGGCACTTTAATTCTAAAAGGAATCCGGCTATATGGCAGGGAAATTTTAAGTTGACCACCTCTTAAGAAACACACAGAATATTTTCTTGTAAAAGCTGCTGATAAAGGATATCCAGAAATAAGGCTAAGTTGCCCTATGTTTATGGCCTCAATGTGAGTTTAAAATACAAGAAGTTGGGAAAAAACCTCCTCGACTGGTCAGATGACTATTTTCTAAAAGCACGTTAGACACACTATTGCCACAACAAATCAAATCCAACAACCAATGAAGCAGTAATCCTACAGAAACAACAAAGTCTTCAAGAAATATAAAATACAGACACAGATGTCACATAGGTATTTTGCTAATGAGCATACGGCTGTAGAAACTAATGCAAAGGTTATGAAGGATATCCATTACTAACACCATACAGGGACTGGATACACCTTAAAACAGCCACAGGAGAACATAAGAATAATTCCAAGTATAAAAAAAAAAAACACCAAAGGGATGATTTCATTAAGACTACAGGAATGCAATTAAGATTGACACACAACAAAGATCACATGCCTTCAGAATCAGTTTCACCCTCATTATACATTCTAAACCTAAATTAAGATGTCAAGATAACATTAAGGCAACATTTGCAAGCCTTGATGAAAGCAGCAGTAAAATGCTCTCATTACTAGCACTTCTGTCCTGCTCTGTGGAAGAGCATTTGATGGAAAGAAGCCTCATGATTGGCAAGGAACTAGACACACATGGGAACTCACGCACATGATTATTCAGTTATAGCATCCCATAATTGTATCTGGAATCACAAATTTATTGCAAACCAGTAGCTGTACTGCAAATCCATTACCGCATTTCCTCAAGACTATGCATGCGTTCTGATCCTAAAAAGATGGGGCGGGGTGGGGAAGCAAAACTGGTACTTGCAAACGAATAACCACCAACAGAAGCCTCATAGCAGCGCACTATGGTTCTCACCTTAGAATTCAGCATGATTTCAGGAGCCCTGTACCAACGTGTGGCCACGTATTCTGTCAAGAATCCTGTGTGATCATGATCTGGATCTGCAACACGAGCCAGTCCAAAGTCACAAATCTGGATTTAAAGAAATAAAAAAAAAAAAAAAAAAAAGGCAGCATATTAGACATACAGCTTCCAATACTACAACATTACTAATTCACCTTTCCCCAACCCATGATGTAATACCTACAAATACAGTGATCATAACCTGTATTTTTAAAAACAAATTATTGCACTAAGGTTAAGAAAAATGTTTTGGATTAAGTACAAAGAGCATCCGATTAGGCCATGCAGGGGCCAGGAAGAATAAATGGTTTAGGAAAAAAAAGATGTTCCTTATGCACAATTTATGTTGCACTACTTAACACTTTCTCTGCCAGATAGGTGGCAAGATACACTTCTCCAACCTGTTATTAGAAATTTACCAGAAAATGAAAAGAGATTAAGATTTCCAGAAAACAAAATTACCAACCAACACATTTGTAGCAAAGTTCAATACCCTTTTTTACAAAAGCTAGCATCATAACTACATCTTTGCACAAGAAACATCCTATCCAATCATGAGATAATGGTAGACTGGAAAGATTATAGGTTGCTGAAGGAAGCATGAGCATAAGAAAAAAAAAAAAAAACCCACAAGAAAATATTTCTCAACCTGTATCAGGAAAATAGTTGTATCTAACCATGAAAAGAAAAATAAACTCTGATCTAGACTAGTGACTTCAGCACAAAAGAAGTGTTTTTATCTATACACTAGTAAGGAGGTTCCATGGCTTTCAGAGCTATTTAGTGTCCTCTCTCCAGAGAGAAATTAACAGAACTGAAAACGTGAAGAAAGACAGTGTTCCTTTCTTACCTTCCAAAAGGTAAATGGCAAGCTTGTTGAGCGGCACATTAGACACATTCATATGCTTTTGCTACCACCAAACAAATACCAGTTTATGATAATGATCAATTTCCACAGAAAGTGTATTTGCATGAAAGAATAAGTACTCTCAGAAAAACAAGGCATCAAACGTAGGAGTGCCAAACAGTTAGGAGGTTCCTCTGATGCATACTTTTTATAATAGTTTACTCTTTGATAGTTAATTGTGTACACTAATTATATTAAAAATGTGAAGTAATAATACGTTGTAGTCAATAAATACTGTAATTGATAATCCCACCAAAACCACAGAAACCTCATTGTACCCTGGCAACCTACTCCTTTATTATCCTGGAGGGACAGCCTGTGAAACAATTGATAGATCAGTCATGGAAGAAGTGATTCAGCTGACTAAAAGCTACATCTGAAAGACAAGATTCAGCAGCTGACTGTTAAACAGAGGGACTGAAGAAAAGGCAGTGATGAAATTCATAAGCCAGGCTGCATGGGATGACTCCTCTGACTTTAGCTACATAATAAAACAACCCCAAACCCTGAATCCTTAGAAAACAAAACCAAAAAGAACCCTTTTAACCAGGTCAAGGTTCTCCCAGGCTACAGAAACAGAGCAGCTGCCTTGTGTGCAATTAGCAGCTTACATAAAGAGAATCAGTACAAATAATCAGAAGAGTCTCCTATAAAGACAGAAGCAAAAAAACTGTAGAGAACAGCTTTATGGACTTCAGAAAATAATTATGTGGGCAGACAAAATTGTTGCAATCTCTTCCTCCTAACCTCAGGAAAAAAAGCTAGATAAGACTATAGGCAAGGAGGTTTGTGCAGAATTATACTATTACACATGAGCAAAGTGCTAGGATTTGTTATTACTAAGACAAAAGAAGACTGACATTCGTGAAGAGAACAAACTGAATTACAGAAGGTGTCTGTGAATCTCTCAACTCAAGTAGAAAAATGCACATGGGATGGAAAGTAAGATTAATGACAAAGAGAGCTCATTAAAATGACAAAAAGCCCCTGCTGACTAGAGCAGAAACAGGTTAAGCAGAAAAGAAGAAACACCATTAGTGAGAAAGGCATCAAGGTTGAAGCTGCAAGAAAGAGGCTTTTGGCTGTTAGCAGTGTTTTCACCAGCTGCAGAGCTGACCAGGAGCATTAGCAGGGCAGAATAAAAAGAAGGTGGAGAGGCCAGCGTTCTGCCTGAAGTCCTGGGTGCAAGGGACAGAGCACAGAGACTGACTGTACCCTGGTGAGGGCAGACGGTTCTTGCCCTGCGGCAACAGAACACATTTAACAAAGCAGCTACCCTATTTATGGGAGGGAAAAAAAGATTGCGAGTCCACTATGCCTGTTCAAATAATAATTGGTAAAGGTCAAAGCACCAGAAGAAGGTAGGCTTCTCAATCAGAACTTAAACAAAAAAAGAAAGAATATGTGACAGCAGCATAACGACAGGCAAAATATTCTTGGCATTTTGACTAAGTCACAGCAGATAATAAAAAACTGCATAATGAAAGACCCAGGTATGTCAGTCAGTGCTTCATGCCTTGGAGAGACAGAACAGATGCTACTGAGAGAGATGGAATAACCTCCCCACTAAATAAATAAATTTTTAAAATGCCAGCATCCTATTTATACATTTAGCTTCCACTTCTTGAAAACAATGTTCTTGTAATCAGTATCAGGTATGCTTTTTTTTTTTAAAGAGATGGCTTAAAATTGGATGAAGCTATCAAGCAGATGGGAAGATTTATGAGGATCATGTACATATGACCATTTACTAAGCAAATGAAATTACATCCAACAGTGCTACTAATATACTGAAATATCTGAAGTTGTATTGTTGAGTAGTCTGTGTGTATGTATATATTTATATAAAAGGAAAAGGAGAGGCTTCCATTAAGTTTAGGTGTTAATGATAAGATGGTAGGTGAAACAGTTGCATCTCTAGAGTAATTGGTAAAATCCTGAAACAAACAATAACTTGTAATCTTCCTCAAAAAAACCCTCTCATCAGCCTCCTTTCAAGTCTTTCAAAGTCTCTAACAATTCTTGAATGTTTAATAATTGGCAGTATTCACTATGTGGATAGAAAAACACAATTGTACTGGGTTTGTGTGGCAAGGTTGGGGGGGTGGGGGGGGAGTTACAGGGGTGGCTTCTGTAAGAAGCTGCTGGAAGCTTCCCCTGTGTTTGAGAGAGCCCATACCAGCCGGCTCTAAGACGGACCCGCCGCCAGCCAAGGCCAAGCCAATCAGCGATAGTGGTAACGCCTCTGTGATAACATTTTTAAGAAGGGAAAAAAGTTGGGACAGACAGAAATGGCAGCCGGAGAGAGGAGTGAGAACATGTAAGAGAAACAACCCTGCAGACACCTAGGTCAGTGAAGAAGGAGGGGGAGAAGATGCTCCAGGCACCGGAGCGGAGATTCCCCTGCAGCCCGTGGGGAAGACCCTGGTAAGGCAGGCTGTCCCCCTGCAGTCCATGGAGGTCCACGGTGGAGCAGATCTCAACCTGCAGCCCGTGGAGGACCCCATGCCAGAGCAGGGGGGTTCCCGAGGGAGGCTGTGACCCCGTGGGAACCCCGCGCTGGGGCAGGCTCCTGGCAGGACCTGTGGATCTGTGGAGAGAGGAGGCCACGGAGCAGGTTTTCTGGCAGGACTTGTGACCCCGTGGGGGACCCACCCTGGAGCAGTGCGCTCCTGAAGGACTGCAGCCTGTGGAAGGGACCCACACTGGAGAAGTTTGTGGAGGACTCTCTCCCATGGGAGGGACCCCACGCTGGAGCAGGGGAAGAGTGTGATGAGTCCTCCCCCTGAGGAGGATGAAGTGGCAGAAAATAACGGGTGATGAACTGACTGTAAACCCCATTCCCCGTCCCCCTGTGCCGCTGGTGGGGGTTGGTAGAGAATCCGGGAGTGAAGTTGTGCCCAGGAAGAAGGGAGGGGTGGAGGGAAGGTGTTTTAAGATTTGGTTTTATTTCTCATTACCCTACTCTGGTTGATTTGTAATAAATTGAGTTAATTTTCCCCAAGCTGAGTCTGTTTTACCTGTGACAGTAATTGGTGATCTCTCCTGTCCTTATCTTGACCCACAAGCTCTTTGTTTTATTTCCTCTTCCCTGTCCAGCTGAGGAGGGGGAGTGATAGAAGGGCTTTGGTGGGCACCTGGCGTTCAGCCAGGGTCAACCCACCACAACAACTTATAAATAAAATTGCTATAGTGTGTTAATGTTTTAACCCAGTCAGAGGAGTAGATCCTCAGGCAGAGTAAACTGCTACACTGAAGACACTGCAATATACTAGTTGAGAACCTGTTTAAAATAACTTTGACCTAATTTTCTGAAATATCAGTGCCACTGGTCTAGGATAATTATATGGTCATGAGAGTTTTTATGTAACTTATTTCATTTACAGAACTGCAAAACAGGTCAAATTGTTGGGTGCAGATAATCATGAAAGCATGTGAAAATATTCCTAAAAATGTTAGGTACCATTTTAGAGTATATTCCAGCCTGCAGCATGTCAGTATACATTAATCTCTTTCATGGGAAAGATACCAGGATGCAAAAAAGAACAGTATCTTTATTACCCAGGACTCTCGCTGGAGAGAGATTCCAAGGTAGTAGTTTTCATGGACTCTCAAACTTAATCTTTCACTGAAAACATGTAACAAGAGACAGTAGTTAAATCAAATTATGTACTTTCACAAACTTTCATTCACTATGTGATAAGTCATATTTAAGGTCTCATTTAAGTCTGTAGCATAGCCTAAAGAAACAGAAACAGCTTTAGGTTCTGCCCTTCTGCCCTGAGCCTTTCAGCTGCTTAGGACAAGCTATAGGGTTCACAGACAAATTTTGTCAATAGAGACTCATACATTCCTTTCCTGGAAATGGAATCTGTGATCCAGAGGTCAAGATCATGTTCAAGGGAGAAGAAAGAAGGAGCTCTTGTTACAACCTGTAGGATTCTGAGCTCCAGAAAAGATCAACAGCTTGCTCTCATAATGCATTAAAGAAGCTAACAGCATTACCACTGAAGATGAACAAACTTTCTATTTTCCTTCTTCCGAAAGTGTGATTTGAAGTTGTTCATTTTCACAGCATGCTGTGTTTTGAGTTTATATACAATAAACAACTTTGTAAGCATGCATATGTACATAGCTGACACAGACTTGCAGAACGGCCCTAAAAGAAACAAGTTGGTACAAGTTCAACATTTATCAGACAAGGCCTAACATGTACTAGTTTTCTCTCCAATTCTGTTGTTTAAAATTTAGATGTGGTATTAATACAACACCAGAGTTCCCTTTAGGTTATAAAAAACCATATGGTCTGTCATACAGACTACCATATTCTGAACTAGGAAGCACATATTGCAGTGGCATTCTGTTTTTTAAATCTTATAAAGAAATTGTAACAGTACTCACTAAGGTCATACTGTATTATTTTGCCATACAATGAGCTTACCTTCTTTTTCATGACCATCTTACTGGCGTTAAAACATTGCCTTTTATTATTTCATTATCTTTAATTGCACATAACACAGAGCTACACTCAAACTGTTCTTTCCTGCTTCTATCACACAGTCATTGTAGATTTTACTCCATTTCTTTCATGAAGAGGTTAATGCCTTGAAGGGATCTGATGTAATAACAGCTGCTGAAATCCCATAGCAAGAGTCAGAGGTGACCAGTCCAGCAGTACGATGCATTAGGAGAAGCTGACAAGTAGCAGTGGGAATGTAAAGCAAACTGATAGTGTAACCAGTACTTAGAATGGACCAGCATATGAACAGCAAGGACTTTTCTTGGAATTGTGACAAACTTGTACAGCCAGCAACTGGTTTACATTTTGAAGAGGGTATTTTTGGTTTGCCCTTTTTTTATTTTAAATGAGAAAATTAGAGCTACTACAAAAAACAAAGTGTAATTAGGTGCAACACAGTATGCAACAAACACAGTTGTACCACCTCAGATCAAAGTAATGTAAGTTCCGTAATCTTGCTCCATTAGTGGCCAACAGCAAATACAAAACGTAAAGTGTAAAAGGGAACATACTCCAATGCTTCTCTACTAGCCTCTCTCATCTTCCATGGATTTGCCACCATAGGACTCTCAACCAGAGACAGCATTCAGTAGCTTTTTCTTCTACTAACTTGCTTGGTGTTAAGTCACATTATCTGCAATATCTACAGTGCTCTGTGGTACCAAATACCACAGCTTAACAATGCTGCAAGTTAACTACTATGTCCTTTCACTCTGAGCATGCCACCTGCTCTTTTCATTCCCCCCCAGCCTTTTTAATAGGTAAAGACAGTGAACAATTGTTCTGTATTCACCCTCCCTATGCCACTAACAATTTTAGCAAATTCTATTTTATTCCTTCATTTCTGCAAGCAGTATCTTCCAGCAGGTGAGACCTAGGCTAAATAGTTCTTTCTGATACAGAGAGAAGTACCTTTAAGTCCTGGTCTCCTCGTTTTAAAAGGATACCATAGGGAGAAGTGTGATAACTATGGTCACACAGAACTGAAGACTCAAAAACAACAGAAAGTTACAGAATGGCATGTTTTCTGTTTTATTCTCTATTTCTGTCCTAATTCTTCACACTTGGTTTCCTTTACTGAATGCCACTAAGCATTGAGCTGACATTTTCCAAGAATGATAACAGCTCTAAGATCATCCTTCTGTAGTATTAACTAGTAGAAAGCCCATTACAGGAAATATAAATTAGGAACGTTGCCTCTCCAAGTAATTGCTAGGCATTTAATCAGCACTGAATTTCACACACCATTTTAGTTGCCCACTAATATGAAGCCCTTTTCCAACAATGAACACTTAGCAGTCTAAACAGAGAAACCAAGACTTGAAATATACACAGTTTTGAGTTTACTTTCTAGGTAAACACAATTCTGCTTCAGATAAGTATTTTCACCTAGCTTTCACTTCTACTAACTTTGCGTACTGTGTTCAGTTCTGGGGCCCCCAACCTAAGACATGGACCTGTTGGAGCAAGTCCAGAGGAGGGCCACAGAGACGACCAGGGGGCTGGAGCACATCCCCTAGGAGGACAAGATGAGACAGTTGGGGTTGTTGAGCCTGGAGAAGAGAAGGCTCCAGGGAGACTTATAGCAGCCTTCCAGTACCTAAAGGGAGCCTGCAGGAAAGATGGGGAGGGACCCTTTAAAAGGGAGTGTAGTGATAGGACATGGGGTAACAGTTTTAAACTGAAAGAGGGTAGATTTAGATTAGGTATTAGGAAGAAACCCTTCACTGTGAGGGTGGTGAGACGCTGGCACAGGTTGCCCAGAGAGATTGTAGATGCCCCATCCCTGGCAGTGTTCAAGGCCAGGCTGGATGGGGCTTTGAGCAACCTGGTCTAGTGGAAGGGGTCCCTGTCCATGGCAGGGGGGTTGGAACTAGATGATCTTTAAGGTCCCCTCCAACCCAAACCATTCTGTGATTCAAAGAGGCTGTTTCAAAGTCAGCCTCCAGATGGAAACAGTGATGCACTCATTAAAATAGCATAACAGTGAGTTCTTAGTCACTCAAATCTTAATAATTATTTTATCAAAACCAATAAAGTTTTGGCAACCTTTCCACGATAAAAATCACATTAATCCCCAGTAACAAAACCACATAAATGGTTATAGCAGGTAGTTTATGAAGACCATGGGAACAAACTTGTAAGAAATTTCAACTAACCTTGAGATCACAAGTGGTGTTAAGCAGCAGATTTGAAGGTTTGAGGTCACGATGAAGCACATTGGCTGAATGGATATATTTTAACCCTCTCAGAATTTGGTAAAGAAAATAACAAATGTGGTCGTTGCTGAGGTGTTGAGTCTTTAAGAGCTTGTAAAGATCTGTCTCCATAAGATCTTGCACAATGTATCTGTAAGGCATCAGATGTAAGGCAGCAAAACAAACATGGTGTCATATTAGATATCAACATACAGTACCCCAACGAAACTTCTGTAACAATTTTTCTCTTTTATTTTCCTGTTTCATGATGATTATGAAACTATGTAGTTGCTTCTTGCAAATCAATCCTGTTACATTATGCAGCCCTTTACAGAATTAGGAGGCACCAGCATGTGGTCCTCTCAAATTAATCATCATAAACCTCTATTTCTTTATATTAGAGCCTGATTTTTATTGGAATCTTGATATGATCAGATTCCTATCCTGCTTGCCAAGAAACAAAGGCTGGGTTTTAGTTTAATGAGTAATAAGCTTCTGAGGTACTTGCTTCTGGTTGCATAAAAGCATAAAGGTAGAAGATCTGATCAGTTCTGATGAGTCTTCTCTGCCACCTCTCCATCTCAGAAATTCAGCTGTTGTTCTCCTTTACTATATATTTATTATGCTACATTGAACACAGCAGTCCTTTGCTTATCAAAATTAAATCCTAATATTTTTCAGTCAGATTAGTTTTTTTTTCCTCCCCCTAAAATTGAAATGAACTTAAAGAGAAGGGAATTTTTTCTGCTTTGTCAGGAATGAGTTAAGTAAAACTTGCTTCTCCCTTAATTCAGATTGGCTGCAAAACCCTTGGGGTGTAGTTCCATGATCACTTTTCACCGAAATAGGATTTCGTGAAAACACACTACTATTGCCATTCCAGTTGGGCGTTCCCATCCTATCCTCTGGGTATTCAGATTGGATCACACAACTAAGACATCTTTTTACAGGCAGCATGCACTTATATTAGTCAAAATGGCCACAGAAATCCAACCTGAGAACCCCTAAGACCCAAGTGAACTCAAACAATATCTTGATAATTTATGAAGTGAAAACATTTGACCTAGATTCAATTCAATTTCTCCCTGCATGCACTTATGCCTTTTATTTGGCAGATATCTGCAAAGACCCGCAAAACCGATAAGAACCAATGCACACGGACTTGGGGAAATTAAGCTGGTTGACTCTAAACTAGGCCTTGTATCTCACATTGAGTCTCCCAGCTAAGACTACTTCATACGTTAGATATCCACATGAAGTCATACCTACACAAAGCCAGGTTTCCCATGAAAAAACAATTAGTATAACAAAAAAGCCAGATTTGCACATATTAATCAAGCATGTTTACCTGCCCAGGTGCAGTTTCAGACTTTTCACATATGCAGAAAGCACTGCAAAACTGCAGGTTGTGTTTTGCTTTATTTTAAATTCTCCCCCCCGTCCCCCCCCAAGATGTATCTATTCTATACTTTAAGAAAACTGTAGACAATTATAGCAGAGTCTGGCCCTTTCATTTTCTCCTCAAAGCAATCAGTTCTAACAACAGCTCTATTAAGAGTAAATATAGTTTTAGGATTAAGAGACTAAACTAAGTCATCTCCACAATGTTGAGTTCTTTGCCTTGGAAGATAAATTATCATTTTTTTCTTTTCCTAAGAAAGAACAAACAAAACTAGTGTTCACCTACATATCAAATCTATCTATATATCTATAAACTGATCAAACACTAGGAACTTCCCTTTAAATTTACAATAGTAGAAGCCAACTTTTATTAAAATTTAGTAAGGAAGAAATAGTCAAAACAGAGAAGGCAGCAACCATCACTAACTATGCAGGATAGCTTAAAACTTCAAAAGGATACACATCTTTCATTTGTTCAATAGTTGGAGCTCTGATAATATCATTTATTCCAATAATATTCTCATGCCTGAAGCGCAGTAGGATCTTAATCTCTCTCAGAGTTCTCTGGCAGTATGTCTGATGCTCAAAAGGACTGATTTTCTTTATAGCAACTCGAACTTTGTTGACGTTATCATAGGCAGAACTAGAAGAGAATCAATAACGTTAGTTAAAGGAATATTAAATTCATTCAATTCAGAAAGCCAAGAATGTGAATTCAACTGAATATAGGGGTGGTGCATTTGTTTTATGTTTATTTTTATCAAATAAATAGAGGCGACAGCAGCACATATCTTTTTGTTTGATGAACAGACAAAATACTGTTGTTCTATCACCAGCCAATTTGGGTATCTAGAGGTCACTAGCTTTCCCAACTTACTTAAAGCCTGCTGATTCTCAGGTACCTAAACAAAGAAAGAAGTATTCATCATCTTTATCAGCCTGCGGAACAAACAAGTTTGGGTCTCTTTCGATATGCTATAATCAAGAAATTTGAGAGAAAAAGTTCATCTTGAGTTAAGCCATTGACTCTGGGACGCAGAAAAGCCTTCAGAAATCACCTTTCAAGCAGCAGAATTCCACATCCTGTATCTAACTCCTGCAAGTAATTCCAATTGTCACAACCTTTTACTCCTCCATCGAGCTACACTGTCGGCACCTCCATGAAGAACATGGAAGAACAAAAGGGATGGAGAATTTGTGAAAACACCTTTCCAAGTTCAATTCCAAAGATAACAGAGTTCGAGAAGAGAAAGAATGTATCCAACTACACACATTAAGTGAAAGCAAGCAGCAGTACAACAAGGTAATATGCTGATTGTGACCCATATTAACAAACATGTTGGCTGCTACATTTACAGCACTGTCATTTCAGAAGCTCAGAACAGCATTCCTAGCTATACCAATAAAGCAGTCTCGCATTTCTGTTCAAAATGCCTATGCATTTATGAAGAATATCACAGCCTGAGCCTAATAAAAAGGCTCAGTAAAACACACATAATTGTCTAAAATTTGGACTCAGGTTATTATTTAGTAAAAATATTATGAATCCTTACAAATTTTAGGATGCTTTCTATGGTCTTGCTTACATGAATGAAAAAGTATCTCATAATAATTTCTCTTTGTATTAAAAGTATATGGTAATTTAATTAATTAGAATTTAAATGTGTGTATATGATTCTTGTTCCTTTCAAATTTCTTTTTGCTCACTACTGCATTGTTTGGAAATTAAAAAATAATCAACCCTACATTTAAACATTTCTGTTTGCCTCAACAATTTAATATAAAAATATAAACATACTAGCCAAACAGGCTTTACATTCCACCAGTTTTCTATAATCAAGTCCCAGAACATTCTTTGAAACTCTCTTAATTGGCCTTACTCTGCTTAGATGTCCAGGTATCTGGTGATCAGGTAAAGCAGAATGAAATATGAAAATCCAATTAGAAAAGAAGACGTAAAAGGAATTCAAATGCCTGGCCACATCAAGTTTCTTCCACCACTAAGCAGATTTATGGTGCAACAAGCTGTTTTTGAGACAGTACTGTTACCACTGTAAGCAAAAGTGTTTAACATTTCCCACTTTCATTATTAAAAATGACATAGAATTTGTGCCGCCAGTAAGATCTTCATACAGCTCATGCATATGTAGCGACATCCTTTTTGCATGATTTTTCCGCAGATTCACTTTGACCTGTCTGCATCTGTAACTCTGGTCTATAACCACAGACAGACTGCACAATTTATTTGCCTCTAGAAACGCTGAACTCAAATGCTCTACAGGGTGCTTTGAAATTCCACATGCTAAGCAAGTATTCATTACAACTGTTGCTATTACATATGTATAGATAACACATTAGCAGTTCATAAGTCCCAAAACAGATAATAACAAAGTGCCACAAGTGGAACTTGGCATAGCCTTCAAGAGCACTTAATCTACGGTAATTTTCTTAGTTAATCAGTTAATCACCTGCGGTGTTTACAATATACCAGTAAGATAAATCACAAGCAGAAAACAAAACTAGAAATAATTCTGAAACATGAACAACCTGTATTTGGGAAAGAAATGAAAGAGTCCTATGGAGCATTTTATCCTTACAAACAAACCTCCTACCTCCTTCTTTGTATTGACTTAAGCATATTCTTTTCTCCCACAATGCAGAATCTTACTTCCTTTCAAAGTACTGGACAGCAGCAGCTATGCAGAGCAGAAAAAGGCAGTATTTACCAATTGATGCTGCTTAAATAAAAGGTCCTAGTGTCTTACAATATTTGATAAATCTCTAAGTTATAGCTTCTCAAGCAAAGGTTGGTTACTGATGAAAAACATGCATCCTTCCTTGTACAGATTCAATGAACTTGAATCCATCAATTAAATATACCAAGATTTCCTCTCTTGTAGCTATTTCACTTATAGTTCTTGAAGCATTTTCTTAGCAAAAGGTTTATGCTGTTATTTAAAAAAGGATGGGTAATTTTGCTTTCAGATGGTTCAACTATAAAACATATGATTCAGTGTGGAAAAAAGCTGACTATTTGCAGTAAAGATGCAATCAATTTCCTCTCCAGTGTACATTCTGCACACAGTCATTCTTCTGTTCATATCAGAAGATCTCACCATGCTAATGTAGCTAAGCATGCATTGCTGTTACCACTGCAAAGCCTCAGCTAAGAAGAGCAAAACCAAAATACTATCTAGCTGAACAGTAAAAGAGACACTGGATTTATTTCTGTTGTCACGCTTTCTGAAATACAAGCTTTTCTGTAACTTCATTAAACGTATGAAAGATTATCTAATTCCTATGAGCAAGAAGCTAATCATACAAGTAGTTAGGTACACTTGCTCATGCGTAGTATTTTAAATACCATGCATAATACAGGTACACAGAGGATCTGTATTATAAAGTTAACACCATTTCACATAGAGTCAAAGCGCTCAAAGCAAATATAGCTTTGAGTAAACTCTGTGACCCTTTAAAAAACAGTGCTTTTACAATTTGACACATGCTATAGAAAACTGTAAAAGCTACATATTAGACTAAACTTCAGTAGAACTGAAGAGTCATGTGTTCTCTCATGCACATATGCTACAATGAGGCACCTATTTGGCCTATGAAACCATATAGCAGTATCTATTTCACTACCTAGGAAACACCGTAAACTAACACAACTGGGTCCTTTGTAGGTCAGACTGAACCATTTCCCAAAGCTTTCCCCATCCCTGACAATCTCCATCCAACCACCATCAACACCAGATTTACCCACTACTCTCCAGAACTCTGCTGAAGAAATATGCTGCTCATACACAGTATCCATTTGTAGTGTTCACAAATGAAACAACTATAAAAAGTGCAAATCCAAACCTCAATACATTAACTCAGTGCAGTTAATATAACAGCTTATCACTTAACGCAGGATTCACCTTGCTTAGCCTTAGCTTGAATTAGAGATCTAATTTTATGACTAATAATCACCTGTGCTCCCCCTACAGTCCAAAAAGGAATAGCTCCACATATATATCCCATCCACCACCGAGCGCATCCTAAATTTAGATTATTTGCATTCTGGAAGTGCTGTCCCAGTGTGCACAGTCTAACCTAGTTGTCTAGACTTCTACTAGAAGCTCCTGTCAGCTTCTACTAAATCTCACAGGTGTTTAGATTTTCACTGAAGCAGGTAACTGTGACTCCTTCCAAGCGCAAGAACCTTCTATTCCTAGACTTTTTTCCAGAGAAGTTATAAATCTGTAAAGTGGGAATAACAGTTCACAGACTAACAACTTTTAAAGCACTAATTTATAGCTTTTAGTTTCTAATCATTAACCACATGTACCAATCACTGCACATGGAACTTTCCCTTTAACCATCTGTGTGTTATTCACATTATGATTAATCTAGTTACTGACACTTTAAATATTCAGAAGGAAGGATTTCTTTCCACCCCAATGATGTGCAGCTTCACAAGCTGATGTAACCATTCAGCTGTGAGTGCTATTTATCTGTAATGTGATAAATTTAAATATAGATTTTGCAACTGCCCAACTCTAGTATACACAACATTATTCCTATTTCGAGCTGTGGTTACTATCCTGTGACAACCTGCAATAGCACCATTATTTAGATATTTTTAAAGACACCACACGAAAATCAATACAAGCCCTAGCAGTACAGTTTATCATTCCTAATATTAAAGTATCTTGTAAATCTATAACAAAGTTTTGACTAAGTAAAACATCTTGCACAGCTGTACAAAATAAACAAATGAGCATTTATAACCCAAGAAGCTGTGCCACACAACTTTTAAAGCCAGTATTTTATCCTTCTACTGCTTCGGTACTAACTTCCTTTTTAAAAAGGAATCCAGGGTAGGGCTCTTCCAAATGCGGTAACCAGAAAGTGCACTGCAGTATCTGAGCGGCCTACAAAGAACAGCATGCTAATTGCTCAGATGAACCTGTAACGTGTAGCCCCTCTCCCATCAACTCCTTCTCAAGGAAGGAAAGGTTTTCACCAGACAGATAGGGACAAGTGCCAAAGCTTAGCTCCTTCTACCCACAATGGCTGCTGCATGTTCTTCCATCCATTTCTATTCTTCACATGTTTCATTTCGGAGCAGAACTGGAACAAGTGAGAGCATGCTGCAGCTGCCGGGAGGAAAGGAGCCAGCTCCTGGCAATAGTTACATCCCACAGAGGGCTATTTCTTCATATAACCATTGAAAAACAACTGCCTACTCTGTCGGCACCCCCATCCTCAGTACAGTCCTCTGCCATGCTGCCTGAAGGCTTACCCCATCCTGGGATATTCTTCCAACACTTCTAGGATTATTCACCTTATGGCTGTTTTACAGGCTGCTTTCAGCATATGCATACATACACATAAAAATACACAACGCTACTGGCAAACATCCTAATTACAACTCTAAATAAAAGACTGATTTGAAGTTTAAAAGGGATGTTTTATCAGTAGCTTTGTGTTGCTGTGGAAACAAGATTCCAAGGGCATATCCAGGGATAAGAATCTTTCTGAAATACTGAATAATTCTTCTTGCAACCAGGAGAGGAAAGGCAAAAATAATTCCCAGCATACAAGATGATCTGTGAAGATCTTCAATCTTTTTATTCAGTCTACATTTAGCTCAATTGT